CCGCCGCCTGCCTGGTCCTGCTCGTCCCCGAAACCCCGCCGCCGGATTCCTTTCTTAGAGGCTTTTGCCCCTGGGACCACCCACTGGCAGTGCCCCGCCCTGTAACCTGCTCTGGTCGGAGTACAGCCTGGTCACCACGGAAGGTGCCCAGGCCACCCACCCCAGGGGTAGGGGCTGAATGAAAAGCTGGTGCCCAGCCCCCAACACCGCCAGCTGTGACCCCTGAGCCCCCCCTGGTGTAACTTATGCCAGTAAAAAGTTGTACACAACTTGATGTCTAGCAATAGGGAAATGATGCCATAGAAGAATGGTTCTCAACCTTTCTAATGCTGCGACCCTTTAATACAGTTCCTCATGTTGTGGGGACCCCCAATTTCATTGTTACAAATTGATCATAATTAAAGCATAGTGATTCATCACAAAAACGATATGTAATTATAGATGTGTTTTCCGATGGTCTTAGGTGACCCCTGTGAAAGGGTCGTTCGACCCCCCAAACGGGTCGGGACCCACAGGTTGAGAACTGCTGCTCTAGATGGCTTGTTTGGGGAGGGAGTACATTCTCCAGAGGCGTCATTCGCACAGTAAATTGCACCGATCTCAATGGGCAGTGAGTTCTTACCATCTAGACTCCTGCGGACCCGCCTTCAGGCCCAGCCCCAGCCCCAGTAGCTCCCTCGACTACCCGCCCCCCCATTCCCCCATCCCTGTGTGGGCTCCTCCCCTTTCTTTGGGCTGGTCTTTTCTGGCTCTCACATCTGGCCACTGCACCTGGCCATGTGGACATGCACTTGCCATTGGCAAAGGTCCCCGTGGGGCGCCTGCTTCTCCTGGGGGTGGTGTCAGGAGCGGAATTGCCGGGTCCCAGGGGCCAGCCTGTCCAGCTCTAGGGGACACGGAGGGCAGGTTGGCTGGGCCACTGGTGAGTCGCCCACCATCTCTGCACCTGCTTCCCGCCCTGGGAGGTGGGGATAGGAGCTCCCCCCTGCAAGCTGCTGCTCAGCCGCGTCCCGGCCACCTCCTGCTCTGGCCGCCGGGAGTGTGTTCAGCCACCCGCTCTGCCCTGGCCACACGTGCCCAGCCGCCACAGGTCTAGATTCAGTGCCCAGTGGATTTTCTTCCCTCTCAGCCTGGCCAGGTCGCTGCTGCCCCACCGCCCTGCCTTCATCCATACGCTCCTGCAGAAGCAACCTACACCCTCCCAACACCCCCAGACGAGCGAGCGACGGAGGCACGATCGTTTTATTTTAAAACAGGGACAGTGCGTATGGCCACCCACCACGCTGACCCAGAACCGGCCACAAGTGGCTATGGGCAGAGCTCACCCTGCCCTGGTTTTCCAGCTGCAGGAGGAGAGGGGATGTGGGCCAGCCTCCCGGGAGGTCAGGCAGGGCCTCGCCAGCCTGCAAGGGCATCCTGAGGGGAGGCGGGGGCTCCTGATGTTGCTGCCCTTTGAGGTCTCCAGACACGACCTCGCAATCCTGACGCCCTGGCTGGGGTGGGCCTCCTCACACGAATCCTGTGTGTGTGTGTGTGGGGGGCGCAGGGGGGTCAGACGGCAGGTGCGGCTAGACCAGCCTTGGGCCGGATCCGGCCCGTTTGAAATGAATAAAACTAAAAAAAAAAAGACCGTACCCTTTTATGTAATGATGTTTACTTTGAATTTATATTA